CCAGTTTTATCACCCCATGCGGTTGGTAAATTATTTGTGATGAAAATATTTTGTCAGCCAGTCAAAGCTGCATTGAAAAATTGCTGTAATATTACAATCAATAATTATGCCCAATCACTTTCATCTAAATTTGTTTCTGCTGTTTGGTGCTTGTGTAAAACCCACACACAACTTACAGCAACAACAAATGAATCACGAATTAAGTAAAATCCAGTATTAACCTCGCTCACCCTTGAATTATCTGAAGACACAGCTCTTAAATACAACAACAACAATTTTGCAGCTGCCATTTACCATGCCTCGTTGAAAGCTTTTCTTAAATTGATTCAGGAAGTTCTTACCTTTGTCTTAATTTTTAAAAAACAAACAAAAAATAGGAGGTTTAACTTGTTCTGCAAATATGAGATTAGTGCTGTAGAGCACAGTGGTTGCCTTGGTTGACTGACATTCAATTCTCATGCATTGTTCTTTCTCTTCCCTGATCTTTGAATAACAATGGCTATAAAACAAATCCCGTCCCAGTGCTGCTTTTCATGAATACAATTTGACCCTAACATGACATCATTGTCTGTGGTCAATGACGACAATGTCACATTCAATTCAGTCAGTAAATATGAACATAAAAACCACCCTTCATATGTTAATGATTCAATTTCTTTCCCAAGTGATGACCAAGGAGACCATTTCAGTTATTTCCTCCTATAAATTTAAAAAGAGATAAAAAAAGATAAAATATACTTTATTTATCCCACACAGGGGAACAAATAATATTACAATATATAAACAATTACATGACTCAAAATGGATTAAATGACTGAATTAACAGAACACTTCCATCTTACTGATTATTCTGAGAGGATCAGACCTCGGGCTGTCTATCAACAGCTTTCCTCTAAACTCTTAAAAATGGGTTACTCTTTTTGATGGTTCATAGTCACAGACAGCTTCCTTGTCTTTTATAAAGTATTTAGTAAAGTATTTGTGGATTTGAGTGTATTTGTGAATTTTGTAAGTGATATCTTGTATACTGTCAAGTAAAAATCATTTTGATTATGTTTTAGTCATGGCAGCCATATGGCTGACTTTTCCTCTAGGGCCACCATGAAGTTTAAATTTGTGGGTTTTTTTGTGAAATATGTTAACATTTATTAAAACTATTGGATGGATTTAATCAGATTTGATTTAAACATTCCTGTGCCTCTCAGGATAAACTGTTATCACCTTGCAGATCCCTTGACTTTCATCAAGTACAAATTTTAAATTGGCCAATAGCTTTGTTTTTGACTTAAAACTAATGACATTCCCATCGGTCTTCGCTGTACTTTGTGTTTAGTGGTAATTAGCAAATGTTAGCATGCTCACTTGCAAAACTATGATGGCGAACATTCTACGTGCTTAAAAGTAGCATGTTATCATTCTTAGTGTGCGAATGTTAGCAAGCTGATGTTGACAGCATGAGCAAAGGGTCATGACTATCTTAAAGGTGCATATTGCCTGATGCCTCTATCTGATTGCCTCGATTTTACACCAGAAATATGTCAAGGATATGAGCCAGCTGGGAGTAAAACACAACTGTGGGTGTTGATATCGTTCAGTATTGAGTCTAAAATGGTTGCAATTTGTGTGCATTCTCTCGGTGAACTGTTGCAGTGTTCCTAATAGGTGCAACATGCAAACAAGCAGCATAACTAAAGATCATTTTCATCACATAACATTTCATAGTCAAGGTTATTCAACTGTGTGCAGTGAAGGGCGTGAGTGTATGCTGGTTGACTTTCCAACCAAAAACAACAGTAGGTGATTTCACTGATTAGTTCCTCCACTCTGGTTGAAGTTATGCTAATCACTGAAATTACTTGCAGGCATGCACTCCAGACCACTGAGCCAGCTCCTGCTGCCTCATCTTAGATGTTTTTTTGTTGTGAAATGTAATTTAATTATCACATTATTATCTGTCTGTGCTATTAGCAGGTAGAAAAAACTGTAATCACAGAAGTCATACTTCCGCATTCCCCCACGGTGCTACAGTCTGGCAGTGATGGCATTAGTCGACATTTCACTGAGGACGCTCTGGATCTCCCTGGAGAAGCTCTATGCTCTGTTCCAGCTCAGATCTTCATACTGTGCACCAAATTGTAAAGAAACCCTTTTGTGTTTTGTAGTTTTGAAAACTAATCAGTCAGTTAACTCTTCAAAAACAGCCAGACAGCAAATCAGCTTGTAATTTTACAAATCAGTAATTCGTTCAAGAGGAAATCCTTATGTTCAGTCCTGGCTGATTTGGTGACACCTTGTTACTGGTAGTGATAGCAATTGTGGTTTAATACTACAGGTCCAAGAATTCTGTGTACAACAAAACAAACTATTGTTGTTTTAATAAAGAAGTCATGCAGTAATTGGTCTTTTTCCATCATTCAGTGAGCAACAGTGATCTGATTTTTAGTATTAGAACAGCCCAAGTGAAAGTAGCTGGTTACCTTGCTAAGAAGTTGAAGGTGCTGTCGCCTAAGGCTCTTCATCTAACAGCTCACTGTGTCTGCTCCTTCTTGTTCCATTACTCTCAGCAATATTTCAAACTGATCCGCTGCCGAAAAATGACCGTTGTCCTGTTTTGTAGATGCATTTTTGATGAACGATAGCGGTCAGTGCTAATCTCACTGACAAACACGTCGCATTTCTTGTGACTGCTTCATAAAAGTGGACTTGTGTTTCACCAGTTAAATGTTCAGTTTGCATTAGCAGCAACTCAAGATAGTATTTATTACAAATGTCACCACAGACACCCAGTTCGTACTCTTGCACACAAAAATATTGCAATGCTTTCATCAGTCGGCCATAGGCTCAATCACCATTGTATTACCTCATTTGGCGATAGTGATGTTTATTTAAATGAAAATGTCCAAGATTTGCCACAATTCAACATTAAATCTACATGAAATATATAAACCATTGGACAAACCCTGACGAAGCTGGGTGTGAGACCTCATTTTCTTATGAGATTAATACTTTTATTATCTCATGTAGAAATAAATATTAACTTTACAAGATTTGCTGTAGAGCCAACCCTAAATTTCTACAACAGATGAACCTGTAACTGTAAACCAGAGACAAAGTCAGACAGTCAGTGAGCCAGTTAGACAGGCTAACCAGTCCATCACATACCCAACTGACCACCTAGCCCAACAAAAAAAAACCCAAAACTTGAAGACCTTGACAGCTGAAAGGCCTCAATGCCTATTTTAACTTCCACATACTGTCCGGACATATCTTTATTAGAGATTTTTTATTCTGTCCACCAAAAAGCACCTTTATTTCTGGAAAACATCCGCCTCAACAGTAACAACATCATCTTTCAGTTAACCATCCAGCTAACCAGTAAACATGACAAACAACCAGTCAGTTTAGAATCCAACCCTACCAAACCCTAACCCCGCACTTCGTCAGCCAGTCGACTGGTTGAACGTATGTTATTAAGAACCCTAACACTGTTTCCACCAATTACAGTGAAGCAGCCAGCCAGTCAGCCAGTGAACCAGTCAGACTGTTGAGTGTGTGCTCATGGAGCATGACAGTGTTTCCACACACCAATTACAGCGAGACAGTGGTACAGCTGTGTGGTGGCTTGGCACTCAGCCACACTATAAGTACCACTATCGATTGACAGAGAGTGCATGAGGAGAGCCGGTGAGGGAGAGAGAGAGAGACAGTCATGCTAAGTGAGGGAGGAAGATGCAGACTGAAAAAGAGGCAGACACACTGAAACTCCCAAACTCTTTCTCTCTCTCCGTTGGTGTAATGACGCATGCAGTCGCAGCGAAGCGTCGGTTTGTTTACTGCGTCTGTGTTCATATGCGTGTATGCTCCAAAAACACAGAACCAAAGTACAGAGGAGACTAAGATGAGAAGTGACAGGCCTCCCTCATTCCTGCTCTTTATTTCTCTCTCTCCTGTCTCTTTTGATCCTGCTAATTATCGCAGTTTGACAGTGCAGGAGAGGAAGAAATACGGAGGGCGAGGGTAAGAGACAGGCAGAGGGAAACAGAGAGAACAAAATCGTTTTTTGTAACAATAAAATAACACAGTGAGAACAAGACACACACACACACAGACACAGAGACACACACACACACACACACACATAGAGAGAGTCTAAAGCAGCTTATCTAGCCCATTCTATGTTAATGAGGATATGAAGTTATTAACTTAATGAAGCCTAGATGCTTTATTTTTCTCTAAAATGGATACCAAAAAAGTGGCACAATCACCCACAATTCCCTAACCCATCGCAACAGAAGTTGCCATGGTTGTAATACACTTAAGAATACATTAAACTTAATGTACTACTGTGTAACTGTATAGACCATCAATTGAATAATTGCTTTCATTTCAAAGCACTTTTTCACACACACACAAAAGCCCAGAATTTAACTACTGCATATTTACATTTTTCATGAAAACTTGTTCAGAGACTCACACTGCAGATTTTCTAATTAAAATTAAAACCTTAGAAAAACTAAAAAGAATAGTTCAACATGTTAGGGAATATTGTTTGCTTTTTCTTTGAGAGTAAGATGAGAATATCAATATCAATCTCTAAAATACTTGCTCATGATGAAGAACCCAACTATCACCTGATGCAGTCCGCATTCTAGCATTTTTCAGTGCCTTGTTTTGGTTTTGCAGATCACAACTTTAGTCTTTTGGGTTTCTTTACAGAAAAAAAAGCCCCAATAAACCCGTTGTATGCTACCTGCCCAGAACCAAATGGCTGAGAGAAGAGGTTAGCGACTAGCTGGTGAACCTTTTATATTTTATATTTACCCCAGAAGCTGTTGGAGACCAAACAACAATGATTTGATTCCATTGTGATCAACAGGTCATTCCTATTAGTTAAAAGGCAGTTTAAACCCATCGGCCGAGACATCACAACCTACATGCAGGTATTTGAGTTTAAAACTGAAGTGCATACTAGAAAGTACTTGTTTTACTTAAGTACTTACAGCCAGGAGTATCTGCAGCGAGGAGTGAGCCACCTCTATGAACTGAAAATCCATCAGACAGCCAGATATAGATATATATCGGTGGTCCTCAGGTGCCCAGGAGGGAGGAGGGGTAATGGGTGTCACCCTGCACCCCGGTCCGTTCTCCATCCACCAGGAGCGATGCATGGACAGGTTGAACGTCAGGACAAGGTCAGAGTCCTGGCAAGAAGGAGTCAGAGAGAGAGAGAAAGAGTTGAATTACATCCTCAGACATAAGGAAGATCAGGAACAAGGCAGCAGCAGGCTGAATGTCAGGGCAGGTTTCAACCATGTTTTAATCAAACCAAACTGTTTATCATATCGCGGTCTGGGAGACAGATAGAGAGACAGAGAGGAGAGGGTTTGGCTCAAGCTAAGAATAGATTTATAATTTATAATGATATGAGATCAGTCAGATCAGGTCTGAATCATACACAGGCAGGGTTATGATAAGGACAAAAAGGGAGGGAGGGAAAAGAATGATGAGAGGAAACCAGAGAGAGAATTTAAGTGTTTCTTCATGCACCAAAAACTCTTGTATGATGAGTTCAGACAATGTTGTGGTGTTGTGGGAGGGTCAGTAACTAAAATGTTCCTGTTTTCAGATTTTTAGGCAACAGTCGGTTATGATTTGTTCCCCTCATTTATTTCTCCTTAAGCAGGACAATCCCAACACTATGGGTGCCATTAAAAATTGAGAGGCACATTAATGTGAAAGTGGCAAAATTACTGAGGGGGTTTATAGCTACACTAGCAACGCAGCTCCACGAATAGCAATGTCAGTCAGTCTCCCACTTTGGTCCAGACTGAAATATCTCGACAAATACTGGATGGATTGTCATGAAAGTTTGTAAAGAGGTTGAAGGTCTACAGGAAATTAATCCTACTGACTTTGGTGATCCTCTGACGTTTGCTCTATCGCCACCATGAAGCTCACATTTTTAGTTTAGAGTGAAACTGTGGTGGATTGCCATGAAATTGGTACAAATACCAATGGTGCCCAGTGGATAAATACGAATGGCTTAATGACCTCATATGACACCACCAGTAGGTCAAACTATCATGTGAAATATCTCCACATAGATCAGCACAGGAAAAAAATATTATATATATATTTATGGTCTGCAAAGGATGATATTCCCATCAGCCTCAGCTATACTTTGTGTTTAGTAGGAAATGTTGTAAATGCTAATTTGCCAAACTAAGAGAGGACATGGTAAACAACAGCATGTTAACAATTTCATTATGACCATGTTAGCATGCTGACATTAGCATTTAGCTCAAAGCACTGCTGTGCCTCAGTAAAGCCTCTCAGAGCCGCTAGCGTAGCTCTAGTCTCTTATCCTTGTTGTTCTACTGATATGGAGACATTTTCTTCTCTTTATTTGCTCAGCTTGTCCACCACAGCTTGAGTAGTCCCATCACTGGCAAAGATAACTCCAAATTACAGCCAGAAGCTGCAAAGAATTGCACAACCGACAACAAGTAAGTAAATAAACAATTTCTGTCCCTCGTTGTTTCAGTTCCACTTCACAGCAAGAAAGACCACATAACATCGACCCCTGCAGTAGCAATCTGTTTTGGCTGCTCTTCAATCCCTTTAATTCTAAAAGCCTGAAAGACGCACAATAAATCAGTTATGATAGTTGTCTTGGCTTAAATAATGCACATATTAACGACTCCACTTAGCAAGGAGAGACATATATCATTCCACAGACGGCCACACAAACACACTAATACACACGCTCACAAATACACACTTTACACACACAGGCTTGCTCTTGCACTGCTTGGCCATTAGTCCAATGAAAAGTCTTAATACTCTTTAAAAAACACACTGAAAGGAAAAATGACTTTCACCTCGTTTGCTAATCTTCTCTGAGGTGATACATCTTTTTTCCCTTTCTTTTTAATTACTATCACATTTTTTATGGCTGTTTTTTAATGGCTAGTAACAGCTGAAGAGTGACAGGAAAGGGGGGAGAGAGAGGGGATGACACACAGCAAAGGGGCCACAGGTTGAATTTG